GCTGGTGATGGTATAAACCAGCATGGCAGGCTACTAGTTTAGAGTTAACTTCAGTCAGTTTATCTCCAGGGGAGATGGTAGGATGAGAGGGTGGCTTGGAAAGTTCTGGAAAGTAACTGGATCTGAAATTTACTCAAGGTTGTGCCACAGGCTAGTTGCGAAAGCCAGGTTGAGTCACTTTTCTCTGTACCTATAAAAGGGAGAGATTGAAGTTGATAAGCTCTAAGACAGGTATCAGCTCTGAAACTCTGCTACTGCTTATAAGTCATATTTTCACATGAGAGGACTGGCTTTGAGAGCACCTCTCAAGGAGGGGACAAATCTTTGTACAGATGAAAGATTTCAGTGGGTACAGATGAAAGGTAGGTAGTAGAAACTTTGGCTGGCTCAGCTGAAGAGCCAAGGAGAGGCCATAGGCCCATCCCAGTGAAAAAAGGTGTGGCCTGAGTCTCTAGAATGTTTTGGATATCAGAGCTTTCCTTTATTTTAGTTCAGGGTCAGGTTGGGGCTTGGTTCTTTATTTAGAAAACCATGATAGTCATCACTGAAAACAGTCCTTGCCAGAACAAACATCTCACCCCAAACAATATCACTGGGAAATATAACTATGTTAATAGATGAAATTTCACAATCTTTCAGGGCATTCAGAGGAACTCATAAGAGCTGTACTATTTTGTACTCTCTCTTTTAAAACACACACCATATCACAGCAAAGTAAACCTGTTTCTCAAATTAGAGTAGCCTTGAAAATAAATAGTTACGTAACAGATTGTACTAAAGAATGAAAGATAAGCCAAGAGATCAGGCATGAGTCCAAGAAAATAAAACCCTCATAATACATTTCTCTTGTACACTTTTTTGTACTTTTGGAGACTTATAATTCCCTCTGGCCCATTGGCATCTCTCAGTGTAAGTCTCACTGGCTTCTCAGAGTTAGCCCTATTTTCTCTCTGGCAAAGGTGGTGTGTGTACAACCTAAAATTCAGTTGCTTATCTGAGAACTTGATCTCAGGTGTGACTTCCCAGTATTCTCCAAACTTGGGCAGGTTTGAGGGTAGATGTGGGGGAACTGTAGGAGAGGTGTGGCCTCTTACGTGAACCAGATAGCAACTGAGGCTCTCTGAGACCTCTGCGAGGAGGCCAACTTGACTGAGACAGCCTCCTGGCCTGACTTTATAGACCCTTGCCTCTATATCCAGGGCCAGTTGACGTCCCCACTTGTGCTGGGGCCCATCACTTAATAGAATGAAAATTTTGATCCCGTAGGTCTAAAGGTACAGGCAGAAAGAGAGAGCCTGTGTTTCTAACAGGCTCCTTGGTGATGCTCATGCTGCTGGTCCATGGACTGCATCTTGAACTGCAAGGTCTTACACGGATGGTTCTCAGGGTGTGCTACCAGGAAGACCATCCGCAACAGCATCCCTGGGAACTTGTTAGAAATGCACACTCTTAAGCCCCACCCCTGATCTCCTGAGTCAGAAACTGGGTATGTGACCCAGCAATCTGTATTTTAACAAATACTTTAGGTTATTTTGGGTTTCCCTGGTGGCTCAGTGGTGAAGAATCAGCCTGCAATGCAGGTGACACAGGAGATGTGTGTTCGATCCCTGGGTGGCGAAGGTAACCTAGAGGAGGGCATGGCAGCCCTCTCCAGTATTCTTGCCTGGGAAATCCCACGGACAGAGAAGGCTGGTGGGCTATAGTCCACAGGGTCACAAAAAGTCAGACATGACTGAAGTGACTGAGCACGCATGCTACGTAATTTTGATGCATGCTAAAGTTTGAAAAAACACTGTCTATACTATGGGTACATGTTGAACTGTGTCCCTCCCCAAAGATATATGAAAGTTTTAATCTCTAGTACCTGTGAATGTGACCTTATTCAGAAACAGGGTCTTTGTAGATTCTATCAAATTAAGATGAAGTCATTAGCATGAGCCCTAATTCAGTATGATAGTGTACTAGTAAGAAGATGACCATATGAAGACACAGATGCAGAGGGAGATGATGGCCATGTAACAAAGGTAGAAGAGATGGGAGTGATCCATCTATAAGCCAAAGAATGTCAAAAATGCCAGGAAATAACAGAAGCTATAAGAAGTATTCTTGCCTCCTTGTTTTACAGGTAGTGAAGCCCTGCCCACACCTTGATTTTGGACTTCCAGCCTCCCCAACTGTGAGACTATAAATTTCTATTACTTAAGCTATCTGGTTTGTGGTAGCGTGTTACGGCAGCCCAAGGAACCTCCAACAACTGTGAAAGGCTTTCCCCGCTCTGAGGGAATAGCAGGTGTTGACAGGGCTTGGATGCAAGATTTTGACTGATAGGTAGAAGAATACAGAAAAGAAGTAGAAAAAAGTAAAAAGCAAACAGGAAGCAGTTATAATATATGGCCAGAGGTATGTGTGGTATTGATTTTTTAAAAGATATTTGTAAGTTAATTTAACAAACATTTATTGAGGCCCTGGGAACATGACAATGCTCAAGGAAAGATCCTTTTCCTTAAGAAACAACATGAGAAAACAGGCACTTACCACTCACGGTAGCTGCTACTCTAAGGAAGTACAGAGAACTATGGGAGCAAGGCAACCATAGACAGTTGTTCAGGTTGTACACTATGCAACATACCTCTGACGTCAGTGGTCTTCCTTAGGGTCCTATGGTTCATAACTGCTCAACTGAATGTGGTTACTACATTGGAAAGGTGTAAGAAAGACATTTAATTCATTCCTGAAGAGGAATAAAAGCTTCCCAAGGGAAACAGGATCTAAACTGAGACCTGAGGAGTGAGCCCTCAGGTGAAGGAAGATGAATGTGGGGGATTAGAAAGGAACGTGTTTAGAAAAAGAAAAGAGTGTACGCCAGACCTAAGGATGGTCAGAGTATCTGTGAGATGTGACTCCGTAGGGAAGAAGTTAACTATTAATTAAGGGGATCATCCTCTTTCATTAGAGGCTAGAGCCCTCCAGGTAAGTTCTATTTTGTAGCAAGGCTTTCTTTGGTGACTCCAGTATCCCCCAAAGTAATTAAAGTTGGTAAGTCTTGGTTATAAACCTGGTGCAATTTGTTTGTAATAAAACAGATTAGATACCGAATGGGAGAGGAGAGGAGAAAAGAGGGTAGGATAAGATAGAATAGGATAGAAGGCAATGCTGTGTTCAAAGTGCTTGTGTATGCAGACTGAAAAACTGTAACCTCAACTTTCTTTATTGTTCCCATTTATTTTTATTAGTTGGAGGCTAATTACTTTACAATATTGTAGTGATTTTTGCCATACATTGACATGAATCAGCCATGGATTTACATGTGTTCCCCATCCTGAACCTCAACTTTCTTTTCTGGCCAGGAGTCCTATCCTTTTTTGCTCCAGTGAGGGTCAGGTACTGATGAGGCCATATTGAAGCTGGCTTGTGTTTTTATTGTATCCTCTTGGAAACCTGAGACTGTGCAAAAAGTCCATTCATATAGAAAGAACTTGCTCAAGTTCTACCCTTGGATCTAGAAAACTAGTCTTCCCTTGGTGCTAAGGGTGAATTTCTAATTGCATAACCCAAGTTGAGGGCTTGACACTAGCGTGGACGAGGTAGCCACAGCTCGGTGGGGCAGCCATGAGCCCAGGGTAACTGTTCCTAGAGACGCAGGGTCTCCAGAGAGCGTGATCGATGCTTTGTCAGCAGCACACAGTAATTTCAGGTGAGATTAGGCTACCCTGGGCTCTGGGGCTGCAGATGGGGCGTGGGGGGTGAAGGTGAGGCTGGGGCACCAGGGGAGGCCCAGAGGGCAGCACCCAGGTGGAAAGCAAAAGTCTAGGTCACAGTCTCATTCCTGGACTTGGGACCTGGGGGTGAGCAAAGGGCTGGTTGCTTGTTTATAAGCTGCAGATTCCTTTTGGACCAACTGATGCCATTTCCCCCAATATCAGAAATGCCAGGGATGAAAGAAACCTAAGGGTCATCATATACAAGAATCCTCAATTCCTGCCCTCTATCTCTTCGGAGCCTTCCAGGCCTCCAGGCCTCCAGCCCACCAACACCTAGGCAGGCACCTTGGAGGCAGTTCCCCCTTGCCTCCAGAGCACAGCTCTGCTGTTAGAACTTTCCCTTTGAATTGAGAGAAAATTGATCTTTCTGTAGCTTTCCTCCATCTGTTGTCCTTTACTTGGAGAGTATTGGCTTTTTTTCTGCCTTTACTCCACCTTGCTGAATTGCCAGATGAGCAATTCACCTTGTCTTTCTGTGCCTGTACCCTCTCTGCTGGTCTGAGAGAATTTCTGTCAAGATCAAATAAACTTATGATATGAAAGCACTTTGAACAAGTAGACCAGTCCTACAACACAGCAAGCCCTGGTGGTTCTTGGTTTGTTTGGCATGACCGTGTTGGGCTCTCTTTGGCTGTGACTTCTCTGAGAGCTGCCCGCTGACTCTGAGGAGAACACCTGACGTTCAGCGCCCAGTAGCCTCTGAGCGAGTCCCTCACTCATCTGACCTCCCCAAAAGGAAGGAAGTGAAAAGAAAGTGAGGACTCGGAAGCATTTTGGACCACATCCCTAAACCTAGCACTAAGACACAGTCCACCTCCACGTTTTCTGAAAGGATGGGATTTGGTCCAGGTATCCCATCAAGGACTATGCCCTGGTGTATCCGAGAACTCCTCAACAGTGCTGCTTACCCAAACCAGCCACTGAAGCCGCTTGAACTTCAGCTGGCACCTGCTTTTCTGCTGCATCAACATTTCCTGAACCTTTGGTACTTGCATCCTTTCCCACTCATCGTCCCTGAGCCAATGATGCTGAGACACTGAAAATCATCAGAAAGTCCCACTGCTCCCAATTAAGAATCCCCTTCCCTCTAACCAAGAGTCAGGGCCCACAGCTACCTGCCATGATCCTGCTCACCTGTAAAGAAATGACTGTAAATGCAGTATTTTCTAATTATTATTTTGGCTGCACTGGGTCTTCATTGCAGCATGCAGGCTCAATAGTTGTAGCATGAGTACTTAGTTTCCTGACCAGGGATCGAACCTGGGCCCCCTACATTGCAAATGCAGTGTCTTAACCACTGGACCACCAGGGAAGTATCAGTATTTTAATGAGTACAGGTTCCTTGCTCTGGAAGTATATTCCTAGCCATGGACTGACTTCCATCATTCAGTATTTGTTGATGTCTTCAGAATACCAGACCCTACGTAATATTCTAGGAAATATGGATATACAAACACAGCCCCTGACCTCAGGGAGCTCTCACCGAGGGGAGTCTTAGAGACACCTGAACTGTAAGTGCTCTAAAGGGCTGCAGGTGCTGTGACAGACTGAAGTGTAGGAAACAACAGGGGATACAGGGAGGAGGGAATCTGGGCTGTCTGAACAGGGGAGGGGAGGGTGAACCAGAGAAATTACCATAGAAATGTGCTGCTCACAGTTGAGTCTTTAAAGAATGTGTATTTAGCATGGTTGGGGGCCTGAGACGGTAAACCGTTTATCTGAAGCATAATCTCTAGTCACAGGTCAAGGTTGGCAGTCCCATTGGATGCAATCTGACTTCTCCATTGCTTGGTTGAGGAGTGGAACCTGGATTTCAGCTCTGTGGCATTCAACAACAGCTTCCATATTCTCATTTGGAGGCTATTTTCTTTGTATTCTCATGTCAGTTTCTGAATTCCACTAATATAGGACTTGCCCAGTATAGTAACTGCATGTGTGTCTGTACCCCCCACTTATCCAGTTAGGTTGTGACGGTCTTGAGAGAAGAGTCTAAGTCTCTCTTTGTTACCCCTTCATTCAACAAACATTTATTGGGCCCCACTAGTACCAAGCCCTATGATAACACTGAAGATATAGCATTGAATAAGACAGATGTGGTTTCTGTCCTCATGGAGTTTCCATTCTAGCAGAGAAGATGGTCATTGGACAAATAATCAATCGCATGTGTGATCAGACCTCTGAAAGGAAAATCCCATTGTGGTGTCACAGGGTAAACAGGGGACATGATCTAGTCCGGGGATCCCAGGCAGGTGACCCCAAAGGATGTTTAAGCTGGAAGACACTCATCGTCAATTCTTGTCTGACTAGTTTTACACCTTGGTGCTGTGATCTAATGGACTTTCCAGGTGGAACTAGTGGTAAAGAACCCACCTGCCAATGCAGGAGATATGAGACATGGGTTTGATGCAGGAGACATAAGAGACCCAGGGTCTGATCCCTGGGTCGGGAAGATCCCCTGGATGAGAGCATGGCAACCCCCTCCAGTATTCTTGCCTGGAAAATCCCATAGGCAGAGTAGCCTGATGGGCTACGGTCCATGGGGTCACAAAGAGCCAGACATGACTGAAGCTACTTAGCACACACTCCATGCTCTCATGTCTACCCTCCAGTTCCAAATCTGCAAAAACTCCAATATTTATTCTTTCCTCCTCCTCCTCTTTCTTCTTCTCCTCTTTCTTCTTCTTCATAATAAAATACCAAGATTTATCTGAGCAAAAGATCATTCAGGAAGCAACCACATTTCCCAGCCTCCCTTGAAGCTAGGAGAGACATATGACTAGTTTCCTGCTACTGGAATGTGAATGGGAGTGATGTGAGCAACATCAGGGCTACATTCTTTATAAAGGGCTTGTGCGCCACTCCCCACTTCCTACTGTGTGGGAGAGAACAGCAGCTGCCACGGCCCCCTTAAACCAGAGACAGGGGCTCCCTCTGAGGATGGGAGAGCTGCCCAGTGCCCGTATATCTAGATCACCTTGGGCAGCAGCACTGTGTGTCTGCTCTAGACATTCAGCCCATCTGTGAACCTCCCAACAAGAATTAAACTTCTGCCTTTTTGAGCCACTGTATTTTGGGTCTCTTTGCGGGGAAGTTAAGCCTATAAGCTGACTCACATATCCAGGGTCTGTTTTCAGCATGTCTTTAGCTTAGCAGGGACCACGAAGGCATTTACCCAATTTGTCATCATCTGTGAACAGTTATAGCATGAGGTTTCTCTCTCTTCAGTTTAAACACATCATGGTCCCATCTGACTGTTGTTTCTTTGAACTCTTCCTCCCTCTTTCTGTGCTTCCTTGTTCCTTCTTTCATCATTCAGGTGCTCTAAATATTTGAAGGAGAATTTAAGTCATACTATCATGGGTTGTTTTTTTTTTTTTTTTTGGCCAGGTCACAATGCCTTCAAAAGAGAGGCCTAGGAGAGAAAAGGGCTGTGAATGAGATTCTGAGATGAAGAGGAAAGGCTTAATTACCTGAAACTTGGCGAACACAGCTCTCTATTAATGAGAATGCTTCTACCACATCTTTAGAAAGAAGAAGACTGCAAGCAAATAAGCTGTGATGGAGAGATTCATTCAAAACACTAATTTTCTAAGCTTATGCTAGAGTTTCAACCCAATTGCCTCTTCTCCCATGGTGGCAGCCACAACTCAGTGGGAGATGGGATGGGAATTTGTCATAATGGCTCTGAGGCTGTCCTTTCAACCTTGCTTTATTCCTGCTTTCATATCATGGGGAAATGGGCTATAAGTTCCATCTATTATGCTTAAGAATATTCTGCAAATATGCAAGGCTACTTGTATAATGACATTGGTTCTGGTGTTATTTTCATTAGTAAAACAGTGAAAAAAATATAATGTGCCTCAATAGGAAGACACTTAAATTTAAAAGTATAGTTTATCTTATAAAGAAAACAAAGGCAGTCACTTCAAAGGAGATAGTTTTCTATGGACTGACATGCAAAAATGTGCATGATGTGTGTGTGTTAGCAAAACAATTGTTTTTAAATAAAAATGAACAACTGATGTTTATGTATATATTTTCATATGCCTAGAAAAACAGACTGGAAGAACACACATGAAATTATTAATAATGGTGATCTCTGGAGAGTAGAATCAGGGGAGATGAGGGTAGGTTTTCATATTTTACTCTATAATAATTCTATGGTGTTTGTTTTTATAGTAGTAGAATTTCCCTGTGAGGCAGAGATCATACTTATCCTGCTCATTGCCCATTCATGGAGAGAATATGGGAGTGACCAATGGCAATGACAGTAATCATAATAGCACTTATTATTATTACTATATAGGTTATGTAGCATTTACAATACAGTAAGCACCATCCTTTGGATTTTATATATATCAGTATATCTAATTTTCATAAATATGCTATGCAGTAAGTACTTTATCATCTCCATCTTACATATAAAGAGACAGAAGAACAGAGACGGTAAGCAAGCTGTCCAAGGTAACCAAGTGACAGAGCTGGCATTGAATCCAGGGGGCCTGGCTCCAGAGATTATTCTTAATCACTCTATGTTACGTTGATTAATGGATGTAATGAATGAATGCTAATTTTTTCAAAAAATGTTTTTTTGGCTAAGTCTCTGAGAAGTAGAAGAATCAATGAACCAGTAAAGTTCATTCCCAGAGCATTCTGCTTAATCAAGGTTCTACAATTTATCTTTCAATGCAAGGTAATGGGCTGTTTATACTCAGAGCCTTCCAAAAGCTGAGAAGACACTGATGTTAACAGTTGTTGATGAGTGACTGGGAAAGGCTGAATGTTTTAATTTAAAGTAAGTGAAAGAATTAATTGCTAGCAAATTAAAAGGCTTCATCTGCCATTTCTCTGCTCCTCGGTTTTCTGTCTTCCACCCAGAACAATATCAGGGGCGTTGCGAGCACAGGCGTGACCACCTGGCTTTTCCTTTCTAAGCAGCCTGGTTTTGCAGCTTGTGCTTTCATCTGGGGATCTGGAAAGGTAGAAAGAATTCTGTACTCCAGAAGTATCTCTATGTACTTAGGGACTAATAGGAACCCCCGCCCCTCCACTCAGGGAAAAAAGGCTAAGGCATAGACTATGAGTTCTCGGAGTAGAGGAATTAGATTTCATTCCATTTTTATCCTCTGCATCTCAGAATGCCTGGCACCTAGCACAAGTTTTACATAGGAAAGGTTATCAACACTGTCTGACCAAGAGAAATTTTGATGGTATAGAGGAAGTTCTAAGAAAAATAATAAGCACCCCTTGATTGAAATAGTTTTCTAGATCTGCAAAAAATTCAGCAGTTATGAGCACACACTCTTTGCAAAGCCTGTTACTAAATACAGGTGGACACAAAATAGTCTCAGTCTTCAAGAAGCTTAAAATAGTCTGAGAGATGTACACATGCTGTCAGCACTGTGACTTTAGAATAAAGAGATGACGTTTGTAAATTTGAAGTCAAGGAAAAGCTCTCTCTCTCCCTTTCTCCCTCTCTACTCCCCACTACCTCTATCATCATAAAGATTACTCAGGAGTAATCTTGTGGATATATGAGATTTGTATACATGTGGGAACTGAATATTGGCAGTACATGGGGAGCAAATTGACGTTACTTCCCCAGGACAATTGAATGTGGCTTCCTGGCAGAGTGGAGATTGGTTTATCTGTTCACAGTTGAGTTGAAGTTTTGTTTGCAGATAAATCACTCTTCCATGGAACATCAGAAGAAGAACCCACAGGAAAATAAAAAAAGACATACCTGCTCAGTTGAAAGATGACGATATACAATTAATTTGCAAATAATAGAAATAAAGTCTTCAGAGATATTACCCTCAGACACACACACACAAAAAGACATATCAACATACTTAATGGGACTAATGACTTGGGGGAAGGAGAGGAGAGCTTAAGTTAACAATTGTGCTGGCTATTGGTCTTTCCCAGACTTATAGAAAGGGCACACAGCACTACTTAACTGGAACAGAACCGTGATGGAGTTAGAAAGGTACTAGGACAAAATGTGTGCCCCTTGCAATCGGGTCTTTCCTCGGAGTAGATCTGTGCAAGCTCTGCCGTTCTGAAAAGTGAAAGTGAATGTGTTAGTTGCTCAGCTGGGTTTTACCCTTTGCGACCCCGTGGACTGTACCCCCATGGACTGTACCCCCATGGACTGTAGCCCACCAGGCTCCTCTGTCCATGGGATTCTCCAGGCAAGAACACTGGAGTGGGTTGCTGTTCCCTTCTCCAGGGGATCTTCCCAACTGAGGGACTGAACCTCTATCCCTGCATCTCCTGCATTGGCAGGCAGGGCTCTTTACTAGCTGAGCC